AGCTGGAGCTCTGCCGAGTTTGTGATATCCATGTGGCTGAGCAGGAACTGTATGTGGGACGTTCTTCTGGTTTCAGGAGGAAGCAGGTTTCCCTGGACACGATCGTCAAAAAGAAATGTTTTGCTAACACTACGGCCCAGCTCAGCGCTTGGCGCACTCTCGTTTCGTTACTGGTCAAAGCGACTGCCTGCTTGGACGACCTGTCCAACTCCGCGAACTGGCAGACCCTTCGCTCTGCGCTCTTGAAGCTGGACCAGAAGCCCCTTGGTCCCAAGTTTTTGTGCCTTGCCCCTAGCCTGCCCCAGCTGGTTGGGATCATTGAAGACGCCGATGGGTCCGATCTGGGGTACCTCACTTCCACTGTTCAATCTACCTATGACCATATGCTCAGGGAACATAGCAACAGGCGATGGGCTAGGTGGAGGTCTTGGGCTCAGGATGCAGTTGCTAAGGGCGGCAAGGCGGCGCACGCTTTTACTGGGGAGCGTCCTCTAGCAGTTGGCCCGCTTTCGTCACAAGGCTGGGCGCTGCAAAGGGACCAGGCCGTTGAGGCCTTGAAGACCGAGTGGTGCCAGTACTGGTGCAGCCATCAGTGTCCGCTCACTTTGGAACATCATCGCCTCGCTGACGAGGCGCCTCCGCTCCCTCGCCCTGATGTCGAAATGCTGAAGTGGGCCCTCAGTAAGTTCAAACACGACACTGATTTGGGAGTGGATTGTATGAACCCTAGGTGCTGGTTATTGTTGCCTCAGGATTTCCTGGAGCGGTTGATTGACCTCGTGATGTTATGGGAAAGTAAGCCGGCCCTCCCGAGCAAATATGCTACCCCAAATCATCTTCCAGGGAAAACCTGATGGTGCTGGATTGCGCCCGCTTGCGTTGATCGTGAGCGTCCTCAGGGCCTGGGCCAGGGTTCGTCAGGTGGTTACTCGGTCTTGGGAGTTGGAACGTTCGGCTGAGTTTTTCTGGGGAGCTCGAGACAAAGAATGTGATCGAGCTGGGTGGCAGCACGCTATGCTCAATGAGTTTGCTCGGATCCAGAAATTCGACTCTGGCACGTGGTTTTGGGACCTAGATAAGTTCTATGAGCGTGTTAGGCCTGCGGTATTATTTGATGAAGCGAAGGCCACTGGCGTGCATCTAGGGCTCACTCGTGCAGCAATCGTCTTGTACACGGGTGCGCGCGCTTTGACTTTCCAGGGTGCAGTGTCCAACCTGGTCGAGGCGATGGGCACCATTTTAGCAGGCTGCAGCCTGGCCACCACCTTTGCCAAGGTTGTTCTGTATCGGCTTCTGGTGGCTGTCACTGCTGCCTTTCCTTCCCTTACGATGCGAAATGTTATTGACGATGTTTCGATTCAGGCCCTTGGGACCGTTGCTTTCGTCAGTGAACAGCTTGGGAAGGCAGCCATCATGATGAAGGATGGCTTTGAGAAGTTGAACTTGATCCTGTCGGGGAAGAAAACTAAGTACATCTCTTCCTCGAAGCAGCTGTCCTCTGCCTTGGCGCATAGGTGGTCCAAGTTCGGTTTCAAGCAGCAGCAGTATGTCAGGTCTCTTGGATGCGATGCAGTTGCGCAGAGGATTCGGCGCAACCCGACGGCCAGGAAAAGATTGGCTACAGCAGGACGACGAGCTACTAGGATCTTGAGGCTTAAGAATGCCGGGGCTCTTGTTGGGAATATACAGAGGGCGGGCCCTCACGCATGCGGGCTTTGGGGCTCGGCTGTAGCTGGTTTGACTCCGAGGCAGATCCTTAATATGCGTTTGGCTGCTTCTAGGAGCTTATGCAAGGATAAGGCTGGAGCTTTAATGTCTTTCAGGCTTCGCTCGTTTCCAACTGGAGCTGCCAGGGATCCATATGTGATATACCACGGTAATGTTATATATCAGTGGTGCCGTGCTGTCTGGGATGGGTCTCCTGGGCTCCACATCATCCAGAAGGTTTTTGAGAAGGCTTCAGATGATCTTTGGAGAGCCCGAAGGCCTTGGCACGTGTGTACTTCTCCTGCGCATGTATACATACTTACCACGGCTGAGTTGGGTTGGAGACCGCTCTCGGCAAGAAAGATCCAGCTCTGTGATGGGGATATGATCGACCTGCTTGAGCTCTCACCGCTGGCCGTCAGAATGATTGCGGAGCGTGATGCAGGGCACTGGGCAGATAAAAGGGCTCTCTTGAAAAGACCGAAGTGTAGTTCTGTCTGGTGTCGGCCTGTGTTTTGGGAGGGGGCCAGGAGCCTGATTTCAGGGAAAACCTCGGGTACCTGGACTAAGCACCACCAGGCCTGCGCCAGGAATGCCTTGTCCCTGAGTGCCTGGACGCAGGCTCGCCGTAAGGGTCACGGGTTAGCCGATGAGGACCTTTGCAAGCTTTGCCGTGCCGAGCGAGGAACTCTGTACCACAGGCGCTTCTGGTGCGAGGCTTTCCTGGAGGACAGAAGCATGCATCTTTCGACGCAGTGCATTCAGGCCGCTCGCCACGCCCGTGACATGCATCAGGATCTGGAAAAGTTCGCCGCTGGTGTGCTACCCTTTCCCAAAGAACTGATCCCGCAGGCCCTAGGTAGAGATAAATGTTCTGTTCGTTGGTTCAACAAGCGGGCCTCAGGTAAACTCCAGGGTTTGATTTACTCTGACGGGTCCGCGGCCCATCCCACCTGCGTGTTTAAGAGACGGTCGGGGTGGAGCCTCGTGCAGGTGAACGACCAAGGGGATGTTCTGTGTGCTGCTTTTGGGCCCGTACCCAGGGAGGTTGCGCCTAGCCAGCAGGCTAGGGATGGTGAAGACTATGCCTACAGGATGGCGGCTGAGCTTGTGGACCCGTTTTCCGATTTTGAGATTTGCACCGACTGTTCTGGGACGCTCGGATGTGTCTGGGATAGGGCCAAGAGTTGCTCGTCCCAGAATTCCAGGGCCCACCTCTGGAGTTTTGTTTGGCACGTTTTTGAGGATGGCCTGAGGGCCAGAAAAGTCAAAGGCCATGCCACTATGGCTGACGTTTTGAATGGGGTGTGCAGTAACTTAGATAGGCTCGGTAATAAGCATGCTGATAGATTTGCCAGACTAGGTGCTGGAATGCACCCCATGCCTGATATGCTGGTTCAGGCCCTCGACGCCTCCCGTGCGGTCCAGGAAGAGATCGTACGATGGGGTGCCATTCAAGATGTGATTATGGCTGATAGAGGTTGGGTGGGCTCGTCTGGTTTCCCTGGGCCCGTTGAGGCTGAGAACACAGAACGCGATCCTCCCATCCTTGATAAGAATGGCCTAATTCGTAACTATGCCAGGTCAACGCGTCAGCTTTCTGCGATCTGGAAGCCTCGGGGCGATTTTCGAGTGCCGATCTTCACTGACACGGGGGCTGATGGGCCTGGCAGTCCTGAGCAGTTGTCTGAGCTGACCTTGCTCGCCCGCCTCTAGGGGCACAACCTTTGCAAGGCGAAGGTTTTCGTGGGGGACGGGAGTCGGGCGGCGGGGAGCGGGTGGGTGGTGTCTTGCATTTGATGCGGAGGCTATGCGTGGGCTGGTGTGGCCTCGCTTGCTAATAGATGCCCTGGCCACCCCCCCACTAAGGACCTCAGGCGACAGAGGACGAGGTTTGCTAAAGGAGAGTTTCCTAGCTGGGCTCGGCAGTACAAAGGGTGGTCGGTCACAGGTCACCGATCGCCCACCCCCACTGATCTTGTGTCCCTGGTCCGTGCGTCGCACAAAGGGGTCCAGTTTTCAGGGGGGGCTGAGCCTGAGGCGTGCGATTTTGTGGATAGCCTTTGGGAGGAGAAGTGGACCCCTGTTCAGCTCCTCTCAAGATATGGCTTGATTTTGCCAGCGGAGGCTGATCAAGGTATCGAGTCCTAAGCTGTGTTTGTTGCTCGGGGCAGGTGGCATTGACACCTGCCTCCATAGTGAACTGAACTGAACTGAACGACGACGCCGCCGCTGCCGACGACGACGACGACGCCGACGCTGACGCCGACGCTGACGCCGATGGCGACGCCGACGGAAGACGCCGACGCCGACAACGACGACGACACCGACGCCGACTTCGACGCCCCGACGCCGACGCCGGCGCCGTCGCTGACGCGGCAAAGACGACGGCGACTGAGAGCGTCGACGACAAACCGCCCCAAATCCACAGGAGAGGGGGCACCAGCACCCACCACGGCGCCACGCCCACGGGAGCTTGGAGGAGATCCCCAGCTCCTTGCCTGCCGATGAGAAGGGCGTGTGAGGCATTTGGCTGTCCCCCCTTCCCCCTCACCCCCTCCTCCTCCCCCAGAATCCAAAATCCCATTGGGGCGGGGGCGGGGGCAGGCATGTTCAGGGCACTCGGAGCCTCTAAATCATCTTCGTCACCGACGTACTAGATGCACAAGATGCCTTCCAAGTCGGCTCAAGCGGGACTCCAGCACGCCGGAGACGCCTCGAAACCACCCAATATGGCGTGCCGCCAAGACCGCCGACCAGACCTAGACCGTCCCAAGATGGCTCCACGGAGGACCCTCAAGAGGGCCTCAAGAGGCAAGAAGGAGGAGGAGGAGGAGGAGGAGGAGGAGCAGCATTGATGGTCCTGAGGTCTTTGACAAGTTTTCGTGCTCTCGACTTGCTGGTCGTCTGCAAGCCGAGAGGCAGCCCGAGTGACCTCCCTCCCGACCAGCCCAAGACTGCACAGAAGGCCCTAGAGGAGGCCCAAGAGGGACCCAAGACAGTCCAAGAAGTCCTGAAGACGGGCCCGAGAACTCGAAGGGGCTCCAGGAACCCTCACCCCCAAGATGACCCCGAAGATCCCCAACACGTCCCTAGGAAGCCCCGAAGAGGCTCCAAGGAAGCCAAAAGATGCTCGCAGGAGCACTCAAAAGGCTTTCCAGAGGCGCTACTAAGACCTCCAAGAGGCTCCCAAGAAGCCCCTCAACAGACAACAGGGTGCTTGCGAATCGTCTACACACGGGCTGCTGGGGGTACATCTTCTCTTCTGGGGGTCGGTGGAATGGTGTAATCCTCTCGGGCACATCGGACCATCTCAGACGAGCTGTTTCGGGAACATCCGAGCTGCAGCATCGAGAACCTGCTCACACGCGCTATCCAACAGTATGTGACGACTTGCAGAGCAAGTGCAGATCATATTTTAGTGAACCTGTGGCACTTGATGCTCTGCAAGACCTCTCTCCCAGACTCCTCGCCGAAAGTAGCAGCCAAAAATATCCCGTCCGCAAGCAGAACGCTGCTTCTGGGGATCCTGCACGACGATGTGCATGCTGGCCCCCGCTCCGGCCCAGAAAACACTACTGCAAGGCCTGTTGCCTTGCACGGTGCTGAAGAAGTCCTCCTCGCAAGCAAGGCCTGGGAAACAACTAGTCGCCAGAGCCACCAGACAAAGACAATGTCACATGCCAGCATCGCAAGGCAAAGCCTGCGGAGGACACTGCGCTTTCCACTTGCACAGCAATGCGTAGATGGCGAGCCATCCTCCCATCCCATCCGCGTCCAATCCCATCCGCATGCCTCCATTGCCCACTGTGCACACACCTACTGGGGGAAAGCTCAGACGTTGAAAATTGTGCGCAAGCGCACTACAGGTGCGACAACAACGAAAAAAATTAGCTAGCTGCCAGCAGCATTAGCAAATTTAACATTTGTGAAACGCGCTACGATGATAATTCCTGGAGAGGCGACGCAACGTTAGAGCACTGGAGAAGGACAGAGGGAGCGAGAGGAAGCAGGAGGATCAAGGTAAGCAAAGGCGGGCAAGCGCAAGCGCTGGCAACAAAAGGCTAGGAACCGCGCTTCCCTGTTAGATCACGCTACGACCGTAGAGGACCTACTGGTCACACGGGTGCTCTGTGGTCACACCCCCTCTTTTCCTATTCGAGCCGTGCCTCTTCTCGCGTCGCCTCTCCTCAGCCCTTCCATTGATGGAGTGCCCCGAGAACACATTGCGTCAACGGCGCCAAAGCAGTGAGAGATCCAGCCACAAGTCTACCTCGGTTCGCTGTCATGTCCGTCGTCTCGGACCTCTGCCAAACATCAACCCAGCGAAGAATGCAATAACGCTCATACCCAGCATGCAAAAGTGCATACGTCCCAGCGTCGCCAAACTACGTCCGATGCCTAAGACTGGCAGCTGGTCGTCCTCACGCTGCCGTCGTCGCACCTTGTCTCTCCTGGCGATATCCGCGACGGCCTGCTGGCTGAAGTGCGGTGAAGTCCAGACTGGCTCCTGCAGCAGCTTCCAGGCGAGACTCGGAGAGTCTACCCGACGACCCGAAGAACAGCTCGAGGAAGTCAGCTGCCGATCAACAGCGCCGTCGACAACCAGCTGGGACAACTCCTTCTTGAGCTTTCCACGGATCATGCGTGCTAGCTCCTGGAGCTCTGCCAAGTGGTCCTCTGGAATCGCACTCTCCGTAAGGCCAGTGACGTCGGCTTGTATGCCGATGAGGTACCACAACTCCTCGTCTGTCTCGAGATGCCTTGCTATGGTCAGGCCGCGAAGGTCGAGCAGATTGATGAACATCTCCCCCGACTTCTTCCGGTTGGGCAACAGTGCTGTAAATGTTGAGCCGCTCTCACTCGCCAACCTGAGGCCCATCAAATCCATTGGAGAGATGGGGCATCCCTGGTTGAGGAACCGGCAATTCACGCCAAGAATCTCGCTCCTCTTGTAACCCGTCATGGATTCGAACGCCTCTGAAACTGCAACCAGCGGAATATCGTTGCCTTTCGGATCTGCAATGGTCACGCAGAACTGGCACTCTCCCACGACTGCTCTTATTGCCTTTTTCACAAGGGCTCCGTTCACAACGTCAGACACCATTGCGTCTATGCCCTCGTGAGCGGGTGATCCAGCTGATGCCAACGCTGGCGAGAGCAGAGCTGGAGGCGAACTTCTGCTCGATGCCAACGCACGCGGCACCTCCAGAGCCTGTACGTGGTGTCGTCCATCCTGTGGTGAGAGCCACGGCAATACCGTGACGCAGTACGTGGAAAGGCACACGTCCACGACGGCGTAGTAGTCCGCGTCCTTCTCCACTGGCCTCCCGACGTCGAAATCGAGCACCACTGTACCGTTGTGCCACAACTGAATCCTGCCGCCAGCCGTGTACATGCACCCGAGAACGTCGCCAGACTGCACGTCCACGGGTGGCCGGCGCTTGTGTGGCGGCAGATCCGGGTCCAAGTGCCAACTCTGCACTTCGTCTGGCGGGGGTGGCCGGAAGCCTATCTTGAAGTGGGAGTCCTGGTCCCTTGCGAATGCCTCTCCGCAAGCGCCAACAAGAACGCTTGCCCCAAGACATCTTGACACTTTAGGATACAATGTTGAAGCGTCGACAGGCTTCCGCTTCGTGAAGCCGATCAGCGGCATGCCCTCGAACGTGGGCACCACATCGTCCACGAGCACCGCGAAAAACAGGCCCTCCGGCGTATGTTTGACGGGCTGACCGCCAAAAACAAGACAATTCGTGGACAACTCTTGTGGCTCACGCCGCATCACAGTTCTGCCTCGGTTTAATATGAGGCAGTGGTCCTGCAGACGCTCCGTGAAGAAAGTGAAGCTCGGGGCACCGAGCTCCCCGGGCATAGCCGCAGCCCACGCCTGCGGGACTTCCTCGGGGAAGCTCGAAAGGAGCGCCTGCCGGGTGCGCTTGAACACGGTCAGGGTGGTCTCGAAAGTCTGCTCCAACAACGTCCCATTGAGCTTGACAAAAAGGCCCTCGCCAATAGGCACCTGCACGCCCAAGAGGTAGGGGTGCCGCTTTACCGTCAAACGCCCTATCATGAAGAAGTTCATGAATTGTGAACCATCGCGCCGAGCATTTGGCTGCACGGAGACCACCTCGGAGATCAAGTCCAAGCCTTGCATCCTGCTCATGCGGCAAAAATCGCGAAGGTTCTTCCTGACTGACTTGGATATCGCGACCTCTGGCACTCCATGAAGAATACAACGGCAATTATTCCCGAGCATGTCCTCTCGCGTAAAGCCGGTGAGCGTCTCGAAGCCCCTGCTGACCCCGACGATAGGATAATCTGGACAAAGAGCGTCGACGAGGAGGGCGGCATCCTCATGCCGCTCGAGGAGGAAGCCAACGGCGAGGTGGGCTTCGGTCACCCTCCTCTTGACGTCGGCTGGGTCTGCCAACCTGGGCAGCTCGCCCACGAGCTCGGCGATCAACTGCGGCTCGCCTGGCCGGGCTGGCTGGCTGAGCTGCCTCATCGCACCTGCACTGCCACAGCCCCGGCTAGGGCACGTCCTGGCCCGTGGCCGGCAGCATGCCCTCTGTGCCCGCACGCCCCGCGGCCATGGGGCTGCCAGGCACCCTGTGACCGGCGCGCTGCCCTCGGTCCCAAAATCGCTGCGGGAAGAGGCCTGTCTCTGTGAGGGGGGATGGGAAGGGGTCGCTGCGTGGGCCGGACATCCGAGCCGAGCCAGGTTGAAGGGGCCCCAGGACACACAAATAAATACACACAAATAAAAATATTCCCTATATTTTCACACATTTTCTAGGTTTTTGTCTCCCCCCCCACTTCCCATATTTCCCCATACTTTCCTGGGGAATCGACGATTCATTGTGTCTGTGTGTTTTTTCCCCTCCTGACAGGCGAGCGACGAGCAAGAACGGGACGCACGAGGCCACAGCGGCCCTGCGTGGTGGCTCCCGCGGGCTGCCAGCGCGGCACGCCAGATTGGGAGCGGGGGCGCTCGCGCGCCATCTTACGCGAGCAACTCACGCGCGCAGGTCCGCGCAGTCGACCCCGTTTTTCTGCGTTGCGTCTTGGTGCACCAGGAAAAGGATGATCATCTGGAGGAGGATGAGAGGATGAGAAGGAGAGCAGGGAAACGCGATACTACGTGGAGAGGATCGAATAGAACAGGAGGAAAGATAATGCTGATGATGAGGATGATGATGCTGCTGCTGCTGCTGCTGCTGATGATGATGATGATGATGATAATATGATTATGCTGATGATGAGGATGATGAGGAGGAATATGATGAGGATTCGGAGGAGGATTCGGAGGAGGAGGAGGAAGAGGAGAGGGAGATTTGGATGGACAGGAGGAGGATGGGGATTTCCTCGGGTGTATCGAGCAGTGGGTTTGCCCGAGCATGCGCGAGGGAGCAGGGTGAAGCACCTACCATCGGTCAATCATGTCCGGCATCCCATCCCCGCAACCATTTCATTCCTCAGCCTCCTCCTCCACCTCCTCCTCCTCCTCCTCCACCTGCCCATCGTCCATCCTCACCCTCCCCACTCTCCATCCTCCTCCTCAACATCCTTCTCCTCCTGGTCCTCGTCGCCCCCCCCCCACTCCGCCTTCACCCCCCGCTCTTCGTACTCCTCGCCGTTGCCGCCGTCCTCCTCCTGCCCTCCTGCTCCCACTGCTCGCCGACGCCGCCGTCGCCGACGGCGGCGACGACGACGGCGACGAGAAGGGGGGGGGAGAGAAAGACGACGGCCGACGACGTGATTTTTTCACGTGGGCCCCCGTGGGTCCCAACCCCTTCCCTGGGACGGGTATTGAATCCCGAGTCGTTTGGTGACGGTCCCGTGGCTCGGTCAGGGCCCCTGGAGACCGACAATGGCCAAACACCTCCCGCGGTGATGTTCGGAAGAGGAGGTGGAGGAGGCGGAGGCGGAGGCGGAGGAGGAGGAGGACGACGCCGTCCTCCTCCTCCTGGTCCTCGTCGTCTCCATGACCGCCCCCGAGGGCCCGCCGTGGTCGACTCCGTGCTGGCGGTGCCCTCGGCGCTGCCCAGCGCCTTCAGCTCGGACACCGGCGAATGAATCCTCTTCGCCGCAGGAAGCCGAGGGGCAGGAACCAGGGCCGAGGGGGAGGAGGAGGAGGAGGACGTGGAGGAGGAGGAGGAGGAGGAGGAGGAGGAGGAGGAGGAGGATGAGGAGGAGGGGGGATTGAGTCAAATTTGAGAGGAGGAGGTGGAGGAGGAGGAGGAAGAGGAGGATGGGTGCGAGGATCGCGATCATCAAGAGGCGGGACCCTCCGGCCTGGGCCCGCCCTCTGCCCGCTGCGGGGCTGGCGGCGCGCGACCGGCAGCGGAGGAGGGGGGCTCCCCACGAAAAGCTCTCTCCCAGAGGGCGGGGGTGACCCGGCCTGGGCCCCCCGAAGGGGCGTGCCGCGTGGCGCAGCAGAACTCGCCGCAGACGACGCGCGCGCCCCGGGTGGCTCCCTCGGAGCTCTCTCCCGAGGGCGGGGACGTCGCGGCACAGACCACTCGAGGAGGCGTGCTCGCGCAGGCCGCCGACGAACGCCGTCCACTTGGTCGTGTCGACGTCCATGGAGCAGTGTGGCCCGCAGACTTGCTGGCACGGCCCGCGGCCTTCTCCGCCACCCTTGGGCCACGGGCCTCCTCCCAGGCGGTCGAGGTGCGGCGAGTTCGTGCCGTGTCGACCCCGGCGTTGGCTCCCGACGTCGCGGGGATCGTTACTCTTGAGCGACTGGCCGTTTCCGAAACGTCAGATCGTTCAACATCGACCGATTCTGGGTCGCCGGCGACTCACGACCCATCAAACCAAGATCCGCCACCGTGCTCCCTGACACGTTAAGCCGCTGTGAATGACCAGTGCTGCCCAGCAGGGATCCCGTAGCCCTGAGAAAGGCGCCCAGCCCCCTCCCCCCTCTCCAGGGCAAACTGAAGCGTGCTCCCAAGGCCGGCTGGAGCGACCCGACGCCTCCCCGATACTCTCGAAAGCTCTCCAGGGCTGCCAAGACATCTCAGCAAGGCCAACAAGGCCGCCATGATGGTCAACATTGGCTCATGACGCACCCAAGAGTCCCTAAGACTCGTCCAAGAGGTCCCCCGGTCCACACGACGCGAACCTGCAGTGCACGGCTCCCGCGGCAGTGGGCCTGCCAGTCGGGGGGGGGCGGCCTGCTGCCGCCCGCCCGGCGGGGGGGAGAGAAGCAGCCGCAGGGCTCGCAGAGCCAGCAGTCCAGGCCCCAGCGTCGCTCCGGGGCGTGCGGGAGGGGTCGCCCCGCAGACCGCCAACTCGGACCCTTGCACCGATCGGTCCCGTCAGCTCGTCCACCACCTCGGCAAGCCGCCGCGCACGTCGCTCGCGTCTGAGCGTGCTCATTTCTAATTGTGCTCGTTTCCAACTGTTCGGGGCCCCCCCGTGGCCAGGAAGAGGCCCAGGATGGAAGAATCGGAAACGAAAGCATCTTGGCCCCGCCCAAATCAAAGAACTCTCGAAGCATTGGAGATGAGGAGTGCGTATGCCGTGGCACTGTGAGCGGAGCCATGCCGTCATGCCCGCGCCAGAGCGCGAGCACCTGCAGGCACTGCGCCCGCGACCGTCGGCCGCGAGCCGGTGGTTCGGAGCGGAGCCTGCGACCGTGCTCGGGGCGGGAGCCGCCTGCCTCGCCCCGGCCCTGCGGCCGCGGCGACGGTCCTCAGCAGCTCTGCGGCATCCACAGCTGCCCGCAGGATCAAGTCGGGCGTGTCCCTCTACAGGGGGAATCCTCACAAATAGTCAGAACGTAGTCAGGGGACCATTCTTGAGCATTTCATTTCAAACTTTGTCGCCCAACATTCCTCTGTAGGGGGACAGGCCTGACCTAACCGTAGGATCCGCCAGCGTACCTGCGAAACCATGACCTCCGCAGCCTGCACGCGAGCGCGGCCATCAGCGGGACGAGCGTTTCGAAGGCTGCGCTCGCTGCGAGCGCATCTGCCAGCGCATTGCCTCGTAGCACCGTTCCTGGGATCTTCCTCTCGCGAGATTCGGCCGCCGTGGGGTGCGAGTTGACGCGCTCGACGGAGAACTCGGCTCCAGCTCGAGAGCGAAAAACACGGCCGATCTGATGCCAACGATCGGCGTCGGGACCCCTGGGCCGCTGGTCAAGCTGCTGCCGCAAACCTTCGCGCGCCGCCAAGTTGCTCGCGTAGAGGAGCCGCGAAGCCTGCAGGCGCTTCCACGGCGAGAAGCCGCTCTCGAAATGAACCTTTGATGCGCTGCCTGCCTCTCTTTCCCGGTTCCCGCCAGCGACCCGAGCAGCGCCTCGCTCAGCGTCGCCGCGTCGTCCATGAGGCGGCAGACGGCGACGCCCGCGTGGCGCTGCGTCGGAGAGCGCTGGTCAGGCTCCCCGCTGGCGCCGCCGTAGGGTGTCAGTGGTTGCAGGGCCGTGCCTTTCCCGAACCCCGGTGAGTCGCTGACGGCACCACCTCCCGCTTCCAGCCAATTCGCATCCCCTGGCGGCACCGTCGCCGTCTCCCAAGATGACGGGATGCGGCTACGGAGCCAGAAGCACGGACGGGCCTTTGTCTCGGCGTGTGCACGAGGGACGAGCTGGTCGCTGATGTGCAGGCCGTGTTGTCCACGTCACGCTGGCACCCTCATGTCCTGTGAAAGTCGGTCTCCGCAGCGTGGCAGCACCACTTAGTGGGCCCTGGAAGCGACAGTTTTTTTTTTTTTTTTTTTTTTTTTTTTTTTTTTTTTTTTTTTTTTTTTTTTTTTTTTTTTTTTTTTTTTTTTTTTTTTTTTTTTATTTATTATATATATATATATATATATATATATATATATATATATATATATAAAAACATGTTCGGTTTGCCGTTTTTTGTCATTTACAGCGCCGTTGTTTTGCCGTTTCCGTTGCCGTTTTTTGTCGTTTCCAGCGCCGCTTCCGGCTGCTATCCGACACCGTTTTTGTATCGTTTCCAGCTGCCGTTTTTTTTGCCGTTTCGCGCAGCTGCAAAAGCAAATCCTGCCACCAATTGCCGTTTTTGTTAGTTTCGGGCCGCCGTTTTTTTGCCGTTTCCGCCCTCGTCGGATGCCGTTTTCGTTGCCGTTTCTCCGTAGTTTCCATTGCCGTTTTTTTTACCGTTTTCGGTCGCCGTTGGTTTACCGTTTTCATTTTCAAGAGACACTTTTTCGAACACGTTATATCATATATATATGTGTGTGTACATATATATATATATATATATAACGGCCCTGCCGTTTCCAGGGCAGCACCGCGGCAAGAGCTCGCCGCCATCCTCGTTGCCGCCGATATCGACGCGACGCCGGCGAGTCGAAGAAACCCTTGCTAGGATGGCAACCATCGTCTCCTCGAGCGCCTGACCCTTGGGAACGCGCCGTAGACCGCTAGGCAAGCCACGGAGGGAGCCAATGTCAGCGCCATCTTGCAACCCCCACCCTGTCCAATGCGTGGGCGCCTCCATCCATGCCCCGTCAACGATGGGGCGGCCGAATGCTGAAAGGAAGACATTGGCGGGGCCGTCGGCAAGATCCTCAGCACACGGGGGAGTCCATCTCTATTGCTGCCCGTCGGGAACGATGCGCACCCACCTCTTCGGTCCAACTGGAGACTAACTTTGGCCCAACAGAACAGTCAGCACCGCGGGGATGGCACCCTGATCTAGCGAGACCGTTTCT